ATCCAAAAATGACTGTAACTAATATTCGTCAAGTCTTCGATTGGTAATGGTACGAGAATACGATTGGGCGATTTTTATTAGTGTCAGATTTTTAGATCCAGTCTTATCCAACGCAGCCAAACTCCGGCTCCGGTTAATCAGAAACTCAACTTTTTGATTGTTGATGGGTCATGCTCGAACTCGTTCCGGTTTCATCTCCGTCGCTTTCCGATTTCTCCGGTCTCTGTTCCCTAATCTCCGTGCTAACAACAACATGAAGATAAAGTTAGCTCCTTTTTGACTTTTGTCCTTTTGGGTTTTATTTTAATCCGATTCAGAATCTGTTTAGACTTTAGGGTTCTTAGATTCGTTACATTGCAAGATCTCTTTAACTGTTGCATTGTCTCTGGTTTCTGAATCGTAAGAACAAAGCTTTAAAAAAGTGTCCTTTTTTTTTACTCTGTTTTTTTGTTTCTTACAGAACAGGAAAGTTTTTGGGTGTTTCGATTTCACTGATACTTATAAACTTAGCTGCAATCATGGAACGAGCAGATGAGAATCTATTGCCTTCGGTTTATAAAGAAGTGAGTGAAGCATTTAACGCAGGACCATCAGATTTAGGATACTTAACATTCGTAAGAAACTTTGTTCAAGGACTTGCATCGCCATTAGCAGGTGTTCTTGTCATTACCTATGATCGTCCTATTGTTCTTGCAATAGGTACTTTTTGTTGGGCTTTATCAACTGCTGCAGTTGGAGCTAGCAGCTACTTCATTCAGGTTTGTTTTGAATCTCCGTTAAAGTCTGCTTTTGGAAGTTTTAGTTTTTTTTTTTAGTGTTTTGATTGATCTTTTTAGGTTGCTTTATGGAGAGCAGTGAATGGGTTTGGATTGGCGATTGTTATACCGGCGCTTCAATCGTTTATCGCGGATAGTTACAAGGATGGTACGAGAGGAGCTGGTTTCGGTTTGTTGAATCTTATTGGTACGATTGGTGGTATAGGAGGAGGTGTTGTAGCAACTGTTATGGCTGGTTCAGAGTTTTGGGGAATACCGGGATGGCGGTGTGCTTTCATTATGATGGCAACGCTTAGCGCTGTGATCGGATTACTTGTTTTTCTCTTTGTCGTTGACCCGAGGAAGAACATTGAACGGTAAGAAAAAAAACCACTGAAGATTCTCATTTGATCTCTATGGCTTAAAAAGGTTGATTAAGTTTTCTTTGTTGTAAACTGTAGAGAGGAACTAATGGTTCATAAGACGGATTCGACCTCGGTTTGGAATGATTCATGGGCGGCTACAAAAGCCGTGGTTAAAGTACGGACGTTTCAGATCATCGTATTACAAGGAATCGTTGGTTCGTTACCGTGGACTGCACTGGTTTTCCTCACAATGTGGTTTGAGCTTATTGGTAAATGATATTTTCTACAACTAACCTTGAAACTACATTGCCGGCCAAAAACCGAAATCTGGAAGCTAACTATTTTGTTTGTTTTAGGTTTTGACCATAACCAGACAGCAGCTTTGCTTGGGGTATTTGCGACTGGAGGAGCGATAGGAACCTTAACAGGAGGGATAATCGCAGATAAAATGTCGCGGATTTTTCCAAATTCCGGTAGAGTGATGTGTGCGCAATTCAGCGCATTCATGGGAATCCCTTTCTCAATTATTCTTCTGAAAGCAATCCCACAGAGCACAGACAGCTACGCAATCTTCTCAGTCACTCTCTTCTTGATGGGTCTTATCATAACTTGGTGCGGATCAGCAGTTAATGCACCGATGTTTGCGGAAGTCGTTCCTCCTAGGCACCGTACAATGATCTACGCATTTGACCGTGCTATTGAGGGTTCTTTTTCGTCTTTTGCTGCGCCTTTGGTTGGCATTTTGTCTGAGAAGATGTTTGGGTATGACTCGAAAGGTATTGATCCTTTGAAAGGTTCCTCTGAGCGTGAAGCTGATGCGCTTTCCAAGGGGCTTCTGTCGATGATGGCTGTTCCATTTGGACTCTGTTGTCTCTGTTACACTCCGTTGCATTTCGTTTTCCAGAAAGATCGAGAAAACGCGAAATCCACGAGTCATAAAGAAACTGAAATGATCTGAGGCTTAGATTGCTTCTGTTCTGATTCTTGTAATACTACTTACGATTGTGAGACCACTATGTATACCAGAGGTGGACTTAT